AGGTCATTCTAAGTCTACCGCCAATCCCAAGCCACAAAACAAAAAGTAATAAATTCAAATACATTTTTAAAAAATCCTGACCAGTAAAACAAGGCACAAACAAGACTGTAAAACAAAAGACATATAAAGAGCTTCTCCAGATCACTAAAAATGAGCAATAGGAAAAGAAACAGAAAAGGCTCTACACAAATGTAAAAGGTCCTCACTGATAAGAAAACTGCAATTAAATCAATAATGGCATATTTTTCACCAAAATATTGGCAAAGATTACCACACACTGAATTAGCAATGATGCTGGAAAGTTTCCCTAGTATATGTCACTTACGTATACTTCCTCTATGAAAGTAAGTTTGGAAATATTTATTAAAATTTAAAATATGCTGAACTTTTGACCAAATAATTCCATTTCTAAAAATTTATCCCCATGATATATTCATACATATGGGAAAATGATATATGAATAAAACATATTTAACATAGTGTTTTTTCTAATGGCAAAATAATTAGAATCAACTTATCCAAAAATATATACTAGTTAAAGAAATTAAAGAACATTTGTAAAATGGGATATTACGCAGCCATTAAAATGAATGAGGCAACTATATATTAATGGGTGTGGAAATTATCTTCTAAAAAGTAAACTTTCAGGACACATTTGTGTTTTTTGTTTACACACATATACCTATACATGCATGTGCACACACAAACACAAAATATTTGATATATACACATATCTACTCTTCTACACAGAATTTTTTGGCAGACTATACAATATCCTGGCAACAGTAGTTGCCTCTGACTAGGGAAATAATTGGAAATTTTGTAAGAAACTTTGTACTATGTCCTGTATATATACAGTATATATATATATATAAACATACATACACACACATATTACCTAATAAAGAAGTTTACAAACTAACTTTGGAAAGCACTTTTAAAATTGAATTACTAAAAAAAATGTAGAACTGCTCATCTGTTTTAAATATAAGCTAAATTATTACCTTGTTCTATCAGGAAAATTTTTACTTGTTATCTTCCTTTATTTGGGAAGGAAATTATCCCCTTGACATTAACAGAAAACCTAAACTGAGATCGAAGAAAAGATAATTTACACATCAAGAAATATAATTTCTAATTTGTTACAAAAACACCTCATCTGAAAGACTGTGATATGCACATAGTAGAAATTCAATAAATATTTACTGAATGAATACCTTTCTATTGATTTCAGTGGGTTTGTGTTCCTCTATTTTTTTTTTCTTATATCACCCCACCCACCCACCCCCCCCAAAAAAATAAAAATAAAAGCCTCACTGGAAAATAGGAAAATAGAAACTTTTAAATTATGTTTTTCTTCAAAATAAATAAATAAATAAATAAATTCTCCATTTTCCCAACAAAGCTGGTAAACTACCTCAATAACTTACCACAAGTCAAATCGACATTACTTATTAGGTAACTACTTTGCACAGGTCTTTAAGGATGCTATAAAACACAAACTCCAATAAGTTTATTCTTGCCCTCAAGAAGTTTAGAGTCATGAAAAACAACTTAAAAGGCTTAAAAACATTAATCAGTAAAAGGACACTGTAGAATTTGATAGAATTATCCAAACTGAAAATATTAATGGAATGCATATGAGAGTAAAAAAAGGAATATTGATCTATTTAGGGATCTATAGATAAATAAAAATGTTTCCAAAATTCTAGTATCCCACTCACATGTAAAATGGTATTATTTGATGGTGATAGAACTTCCTAGGTATGTGGATGTTCAGCTAGGCTTGGAAGACATTGCTAAGAATTAAATATAAATCGTTTTCACTCTTCCGGCGCCCAAGGCAATAGATTACTATAGTGGTCTCACCTCTCCCATTAAAAATATCTCAGGCCTGAACCTCTTAATACACAAATATTTATAAGTAAATTATATGTATCTTAATATTGTCAATCTATATATTAACTATTAGTAAAGCTCAATTTCTTTTTCAAATAAAAATAGAAATGTAAGTTTAAATATTTTTTCCTGTACTCCCATATATCATCTTATAATGCATACCCAACTTTGGATGAATACTTAACATAACACAGAAACTCACAGATCATGCAAAAATATTTTCAAATAGTTCCAATTTTTCACACATCCAACTTTTTCTAACATAGTTGTTAAAAGATAGCAGGTATGACTTTGATTTTCAGTTTATTTCTCTCTGTCCATGACCTTCTTTCAGAATAGATGTTAACATGAAATTAAATGGATATCACTAAAGAGAAACAAAGGATATAGTATAGTCACAGCCAGATATTTGTCCCTTCAAAGTTAATGTGAATAATAGCCATTGAAGAATACTAGTATTTTTTCTTATATACAATATGTGAAATTTAATATCCTATATTGATAATATATTACTTCATAAATTGTCAAACTCTTGAAAATGTTTTGTCTCTTGTTATTATAATTATATATAAAGTTTATTCTTTTTCTCATTTTCCTGGCCTACTGTTATTTTATTACAAAAGACAAAAGCACTTTTAAAAAACATATATAATTACATTTGAAATATATTATGTTTTAATCTCCAAATAAGTTATCGTTAAAGTGAAAAAAAAAAATAATTCTGAAGCCATGTAGGTCACTTTGAGCTATGACCTCTTCCAAGACTAAGTCAGGTAGAAATGCACATATATATTTAAAATAAATATGAATATACGTTTATCAATGTAAATTCATAGACTGAATACATTTAGATAATATATGTTGCTCCCTAAATTGTAAAGATATGAATGCACAATTGTATTATATGTAGGTTTATGTGTACCTACCTAAATAGCCAACACTTTCACAACTTTTTTCTAGTATAATATATTGTTTGAGTAATTCTTAATTCAATATTCAAAAGTTCATTTAAAGTTCTATATATACATTAGAACAATAAATAAATTTGAAATTATAGTGAGTTTCCCAATAAGTGCTATTATTTAGCATTCTATAATGACATAAAAAATACATTCTACATTTAAATATGTGGGTCGAATAAATAAAACTATTTTATTTGAGCATCATTTTGGGAATGCTAATTTTATAGCAATAAAATAAAAATATATATTAATATATCTAAATGCCCAGCTCTAAGTCATCCAAAGCTTGGAATTGTCAGTATATGTAGCAGAGTGAAGTCAGGGACATGCTCAAAAAAAGCTTTTACAAATAATGCTTTATTCTTCTATCAGTTGAAATAAGCTACTTAAATCTCTCAATCTTTTTCATCTCCAAGCCTACTAATAAATCACAGTCCCAAAAAGTAGTTCAACCCAGGAATAATCTTTGAAGAAGCAATTCTTCTTTATTTCAGTTAATATGTGAGAAATACATTTGCTCTTAGTCCTTAAGTGATACTTAGGATTTTTCTCAAACGTGTACAAATATTTGATGCATTTATCATAAATTATTTAAAGTAATATTTTTCATTAAATACTGTAATTATAACAGCAGAAAATTATTTCTTTGTAAGTGTATTAAAGACTACTGAAGGCCTGGCAGTGTGGCTCAGTGGTTGAGCGATAACCTATGAACCAGGAGGTGACGGATGGATTCCGGTCAGAGCACATGGCTGGGTCGCGGGCTCCACCCCCGGGGTGGGGGGTGCAGGAGGCAGCCCGTCAATGATTCTCTCTCATCATTTGTGTTTCTCTCTCTCTCTCCCTCTCCATTCCTTTCTGAAATCAGTAAGAAATGTATTTTTTTTAAATAAAATCATAGGGAAGAGAAAATACATGTTTTTAAAAGACTACTGAAGTCAACAACCTGTTTTTTAAAATTTACATGATTAGAGGTTAGTGCTTTCGTTCCTACATAGAGGAATTCTACACTTTCCACGGTGTGTTCCTGTGGAGAATATGGGAAAGTAGATGTGATAGCACACAGAAGAACGGCCCCACTTCGGCATAGAAACTGTACTAAGTTCATCTGTTTGTGAAAATTCCAGTAAAAAGAAAAAAGTTGAGTTTGGGGAAAAAAAAAAACATAAAAAGGTTACAAATCCTCTGCACCATCTCCTTCTCACAGTTACGGAGAAATCAAATCACCGCAAAGCATTTAAAAGCAAACCTGTAGAAACAGATCGCTTGGCTAGACTAAGAAGCAAGCGGCGCCCGGCTCCGGCTGGACAGCTCCCGGTGCTGAAGTTGCCGCCGCGACCGACGCCTGGCCGCCGCCGCCGTCCCTCTGCCCCCCGCGGCCAGACCCCGGCAGCCGAGGCTGTGAGTGGGAAGCACCCCAAACTGCAGTCGTGGTAGGCACGGGAGTCTCTTTAGATTTCGAGTCTCGTAAGGATTAAGCAGATTTCCTAGTTGCAAACAGGAAGAGCAGCGGAGCGCAGGGTGCTGGAGCCGGCCGCGGGGGAGGGGTTGAAGATGGCGACGGCCGCACACCCACCGAGGCGCCCCGCGCACAGGCCCCTCGCCCGCGCCGCCGCCCTCCCGGCCTCGGCGACCGTGGGCCACTCGGCTCTTCCCCGCGCCGGGGCCGAGCCGCCCTGCGGCAGCGCGGGACGGGCCCCCGGCTCCCGCGTCCTCGCCCGCCTCCCCGGGGCCGGCCCTGGCACCTGTGCACGGCCATATTGGATCCGTCGCCCCGGTCCCGGCTCCGCGCGGGGGCGGCGGCCGGGAAGGCGCGCGGAGCCGGGTTCAGCCCCGACCCGGGCCGGCCCCGGAGCCGAGGCGGCCCGCGGGGAACTCAGGCAGGACCTCGGGAAGATGGCCACGTCCCCCGGCTCGCCGCCCTCGCCTCCGCCGGCCTCGGCGCCCTCCCTCCCTCCCTCGCCGACACACCACCCCGCGCTCACACCCCGCAAGCAGCCCGGCCGGCGGCAGCCTCGTGGCCCGGGCGCCGCCGGCGGGAGGGAGGGCGGCGATCCCGGACGCGCAGGCGGCCGCGGGGCAGCCGCCGTGGGGGCGGAGGGCAGGGAGGGAGGCGGGAAGATGGAGCTGGGTCCTTACTTGAGCACCGACTGCTCCTTCTCCTCTTCTTTCTTCTGCCGGTCCATGACGGCCAGGATGATCTTCCTCTCCTCCTCCGTGAGGTGGCTGAGGTCGGGCATCTCGGGCTGCGGAGGCGGCTGGGAGGCCGCCGGGGTGGCAGCCGGGCGGCCCCGCGGCCCGACCGGAGCCGACATGTTTGGCGGAGCCTGACCGCCCTAGGGACGCGGGGAGGCCACTCCGCTGGCGGCGGCGGCACCCGCGCGGGCGGCTGGGGCAGCCTCCGGCGCCGGGACAAATACATACAAATCAATGGCCTTCAATCCGAGGCGACAGCCCCCCGCCCCCGAGAAAGAAAGAGCGGGGGGAGGGGAGGGGAGGGCGGGCGCAGGGGGAGGGAGGCTGGGGAGCGCGCTCCGGGAAGCGTCTCTCCAGCCTCCGGGGGCGCAGGGCTGGCAAGTGAGCGGCTCGGGTGAGAGGAGCGCGGGAGGCGAGGCCGGGCCGGACGCGGCGTGCGCGGGGCGGCGGGGAGGGCGAGGAGTAAGGCGGCGGGGACTCAGGGTGGGGTGACTGGAGGGAGCGGGCGCGAGGGCGGCGCGCGAGTGTGTCCGGCCGCGGCGGGGGCGGGGGGCGCGCGCCCCTCGGGGGGAGAACGGCAGCCTCGATCCAGCCGCCCGGGGAGTCCCCGCCACTCGCCCCGAGCGCCGGGAGGCAGCGTCCCGAGAGCCGCAGGGGCGCCGAGGCGGGAGCGGAGGATGGAGGGGGCTCGGGGCTGGTTTCCCGGGGCGGGGGTGGGGGGGCGGGGGCGCGGGGCCGGGGACCCTCGGGGCTTAGAGCGGAAAAGCGAAAGCGGAGGAGGGACGACCGGGGCTAGCGCCGGACAGTCCCGGGGCTAGGGCCCCAGCGAACTCGGACGCTTCGCAGGGTCGGGTGCCTCTCCACCCACATCACGCGCGGCCCGAGGTTCCTCCGCTGCCGCCGCCCCCTAAGTCCGTGGAGTCGGCGCCGGGGGCCGCTCGCTCCCTACGCCGCCGCCGTCCGCGCCGCCTCCTCCCTCCGCCTCCCGGCTCCTCCCGCGGGACCCGCGTCACCTCCCGGCAGCCAGGCCCAGGCCCCACGGGCGCCCCGCGGGAGGCGGCCACCCCTCCCGAGTGCGATCTGCGGCTGGGGCCCGGCAGGAAGAGGCGGGGAGGGGAGGGTGGGGCTGAGGGCCCGGGTGTACTGAGAGTGAAGCGGGAGGGGGCGTCCGAGGGCGGGGCTGGGGGGGGGGTGAGCTGGGTGGGGGCGCCCAGTGGGTCAAGTCGGGAGGTAAAGGAGTGGGGACGAGGGGGTGGGGGGTACAGCAGGTCCGGAGATGGGGTGTAATGGGGAAGTAAGGGCGCCCACAGTTTTGGAAAAGCGGGAACAGTGGGGGAGGAGAGCGCCCTGGTGTGGGGCTGGAGGTTGGAGTGTGAGCTGAGCGCGGGGAGGGGCTGCTGGGGTGTCGTGGGGGTCCTGGAGGGAAGGAGGGAGAGCGCAGCTGGGGAGGTCCTGGATGTCAGGGTTGGAAGTTGCCCGGGGTTACTTGGGTGGAGAGCAAAGGGGGTGTGAGCGAGCTGGAAGCTCAGGTGATGTCAAAGACCTGGTGCCCGCGGGGGGGGGGGGGGGGGTGAGGAAGTTCTGGAAAACAGGGGGAGATGCCCGGAGAGGTACTGAGGGGAAGACTTAGAGAGCGTGGGGAAGTGGGGACTAGAGATTGGAGAGTTAGGATTTGCCCGGGAGAGGTGTGAGGACGAGAAGGACATGGCAGGCTGTGAAGGTACAAGGACTGAGGATCAGGGCGGGCTGAGTGTGAGCTGGCGCTTGGGCCAAGGGCTTTGGTCTGTTGAGCCTTTTTAGGGGAGCCCAGAGAGGAGAGGAGACCGAAGCTAGGCGACCGGGTTAGAGTCTGGTTTTCAAAGCACAGAGATGGATGGGTTCGGGAAAGAGGTCGAGGGCATCTGGAAAAGCAGCTCCTGGAGAAGGCAGTGGGACTGGGTGCGGCCCCACCACCCCCTGGATGGGGCAGAGCAGGGAGCAGGCTGAGAAGGGTAGAGGTGAGGCTGGGGCCGACCTGGCTGGGGATGGGTCGCCAGGGATCACCTCCTCTCCTGGGTGCTCTCAGTAAGCGCAGTGGATGACAGAGTTGGGGGTTAGTATATGTACACACCCCTACCCTGCCTTCCACACTCGCCTGTTACAGTGCCAGGCCAGATTATTGTCTGATGAGTAATGAAAGCCCTTTGGGGTTTATATTGTATTTACCTTCTTGATGTGTAGTCAGTTCTGTCCCTCCTCCCTCTGTTCCCCAGGTACCATCTGACTACTAGTAGCTCCCAATTTAAGAGAGCTGGGAACAGACAAAGCAGCCCTAGACTCTCTTGTGATTTCTAAGCTTAAATTTCTATGTTTCTTTTCTCCCCTGCCTTGTAACTGGGAAGAGGGAAAAGTTTATTTAAGTGCTTATTTTATTTTATTATTACTCACCGGATTCAAATCAAACTCTTATACTCCACATAATTCCATTTTCATCTCTTTGGAGCTGAGCATATTAGATGATACCATATGAATCTCAATTTAATTTTGTTTTAGAGTTATAAAATTGTTTAAAATATGTTTTTATTGATTTTAGAGAGGGAGAGAAAGGGAGAGAGGTATAGAGAGAAACATCACTCAGCTGCCCTGACCAGAAATCGAAATGGCAACCTTTCGGTTCATGGGATGACACTCAACCAGCTGAGCCACATCCACCAGGGTAGAGTTAGAAAATTTTTATAAATCTCTAATCCAACCTCATCATCCTATTTGAAATTGTGTACTAAATTCAGCCAGCTAGTAAATGGCAGCACTGCATCTAGAACTTAGATTTTTTTAAAAATATATTTGTGTTGATTTCAGAGAGGAAAGAAGAGGGAGAGAGATAGAAACATCAATAATGAGAGCGAATCATCAATGGGCTGCCTCCTTCACGGCCCGCACTGGGGACTGAGCCCACAACCCAGGCATGTGCCCAGGATCGAGAGTTGAACCCTGACCTCCTGGTTGACACTCAACCACTGAGCCACACCAGCCAGGTAGAACCTAGATATTTTTTACTCCAGCTTGAAACCTTAGGGGTTTTCAACCCTAGCTGCACATTAAAATTACTTGGATTAAAAAAAAATTTACCTGGGTCACTTTTTTAAAATACCACCTGGATCCAACCCTAGATCAAAGCTCAGGTTAGGGCCCTTGTCATGGCTATATTCTTAAAATTTCCAAGTGACTGCCGTATAGTGAAGGTTGAGAACTACACTATGCGCATTGCAGAATAGATCATGGAGGAGAAACTGGGAAGTGGAAAAGAAGCACAAATAACACTTCTAGGGAGGCTGAGCTTTTTTTTTTTAACCTAAAATTGAAATGTTGAGTTTTCTAATAGTCACACTTTCCTTCCCACTAATATTCAATGACAAGTACCAGTAAGTCCACATACCTATGACTTTAGCCTAGGAAACCCTTTGTGCCTCTAAAATATCTAAGAGCTCCTTTAAAAGGGAGGAGAGCAGCACTAAAAATAACCAAAAGGATAGGTAGACTATTCTACCTTATTCAACTATTTCTGAGCCAGACTTAAAGTAACACCACCTCCATTCCCCAGCCGACTATCAACCCAAGCAGAAACAGAAGTCAGAATACACATCCGACTCTGAGGCTGAAACTCTGAGATGAAAATAGCATCGTTATTTTGAGTACATAAAATGTGAACTAAAAGCGGTTGTGCAAATTGGACAACTTTGGCTTCCTTTATAGCAGAGAGTCATATCCTGGGCCTTGCACTGTTTTCTACCAGCCGCATCGCCTGGCGTGCCTGCAGCTGTCTGTTTGCACCCCTACTGGCTCTCACTTGTCTGGAGAAAGTGCCAGCATTTGAAATGCCATGTGCATGAGCAGGTACTACTGGGACATCTGACTTCTTATAGGACTGAGGGAGAAATGAGTAAGCTTACTACTATTGCTGTGATTCCTTTTTACATTTCTTTACTACAACTATTTGTGTCTTTCCTATTAAAGGGAATCCTTAGCCAAACGGGTTTGGCTCAGTGGATAGAGCGTTGGCCTGTGGACTGAGGGGTCCCGGGTTCGATTCTGGTCAAGGGCATGTACCTTGGTTGCCGGCACATTCCCAGTGGGAGGTGTGCAGGAGGCGGCTGGTTGATGTTTCTCTCTCATCAGTGTTTCTAGCTCTCTATCCCTCTCCCTTCCTCTCTGTAAAAAAATCAGTAAAATATATTTTTTAAAAAAAAATAAAAAATAAAGGGAATCCTTAGGAGTAAATATATCTTAAAATCGTCATACACCTTCCCAAAATAAAAACTTACATATCACATAGATAGAATATTACATAGAGTGCTGTCCCTATACTGAAAGGTCTTGGGTTCAATTCCCTATCAAGATACATGCTTGGGTTGCCGGTTCAGTCCCTATTTGGGGTGCATACCAGAGGCAACCAATCTCTCTCTCTCAAATCAATAAACGTATCCTCAGGTGAGGATAAAAATTATATATATATATCACAGAATTTTAAAAGGGCTACTTTTCAAAGTAGTAGGCCCAATTTAATATAAGATTGCTATGCTCAGAACTAAAGAAAGTAAAGTATCTTCAAAACATCTTTTTTTAATATATATTTTTAGTGATTTCAGAGAGGAAGGGAGAGGGAGTGAGAGATAGAAACATCAATGATGAGAGAGAATCATTGATCAGCTGCCGCCCCACACTGGGGATCGAGCCCACAACCTGGGCCTGCAATCCGCCATGTGCCCTGACCAGGAATCAAACCGAGATCTCTTGGTTCATAGGTGGATGTTCAACCACTGAGCCATACCAGCTGGGCCAAAGTATCTATCTTTAGACCTTACTACAATATGGACCTTAGAAATGTATTGTTTGTTCTGGTTGGCTATTTTACCTAAAATGTTTATCACATCTCTCTGTATCCTGTATGGCATTATGGTTTTACGTGGGCATGTCCCTCAAATATATGAACACATTTGAACTTAAAACTGCATTGTTCTTATTTAACTTTGTAAGTAACTGGCCATCTTCATTGAATTCTCAAGGTCTTGACGGGCCATAGACTAATTCCAAAATACAAGTCCTTCAGTTTCTATAGGATCACCAGCTTCCGAAGTCTGTGAATCTGTAGACTTTCGCTTTTACAAGAGTAAGGGCTACTTACTGGTAATTTCTTAAGTTATAAGAGGCATATCTAAACTAAAATAGTCACATCACCCCCTGA